CTAAATTGCCAACAGCCTGGCTTAGGCTATCCCAAGGCAGGTGCCATCCTGACCATTCAAAATCGAATCAATTTTCAAGTTTTTAGCCACTGTTATGGAGGGTACAGCGTGGGGATTTCATGAAAGGAGAAACTTCTTGTTTGCATGGGCAACAAATGTGGAAGAAAAATGCATTTGTTACCCAATACAGAGATCACCCAAATTAAATTAATAGAAACAAATAAGGACTTTAAAAACTGATCAAATTCTAGCCTCATAATTTGTCTTCTCATTCTTGCTCCTATTTCTTCACACTCCCTCTTTTCAAGAACATAAATAAAAAATTGCTTAAATGTCACTTCTTACACTAATTTGAAACCCATTTTCTTCAAAGCAGAGACTAGTAAAAGCATTTCACAGCTGTACCTGACGGTGATGTAGAAAAAAAGTGAAGATATACAAGAAACAAAAAACAGAAGGTGTTTCCCATTGGTAAGTAAAAAATGGCTCTAATTTAGACTAGTTTCAGACTATAACTCAGTATAATAAAAAAATATTCAAAGAGTAGTCAGATATCCTAGTTCATGGGATAAACATATCACAAAATGTGCCTCGGAATATTTTCATTATTTAGTGTATAATATGGCCAGATAACTTTACAGTTAGAGGCCCGAGTACTGAAATCAAAGGCTGAACTCCTATTGATGTTAAGTCTTTTTGATCAGGACTATTTTACCAGAATAAAATCAACTTTTGTTCCAGAGCTCATTATTTCTTAGTCTTTTCTCTAATATCACAAGCATTCTTTAGGCACAGGGGACAGCTAGCTCTCACCTTTTAATGTTAACTATGGTAGTCTCTGTAGACATCATCACCTCTTCTCTTAATTCATAATGTAGGCATAAAATATCAGCACAGCTTTCTGTTACAGTAGCACAGGTCACAGCACTCCAGGGTTTTTTTGTGACAGCTTACTCTTTAAAGCCTTTTTTATAATTCAGTAATAAAAAAAAATACTTCAAAATTACATTTAAAACAGAAAGATATTTTATTTTGTGAATGAATTAAAACCAGTAAGAAGAAAAATTAAAGAGTAAAATTAAATAAAAGCACTGTTGCTTGTATTTTTTTTCAGTTGCACAATTCAAAGGTAATTCTGATTTCATACTGAACCAAATATACTCAACCAGATTCTTGTCTTCCACCCCAATTAAAGATGCTCTGTGCTCTATCAGCAGAATACTGCTCTAGTGCCTTCAAAAGGTAAATAAGAAGCATCTGCATTTTGCCCTGGATCATTCTTCATTCACTCACCTATACACATTAACACAGCACAAATCAGAAACACACATTTTATGTGATGCTCCTGACCATTCCCACTTAATGTAGGTTATAACCTCCATTACTATTACTACAGCAGTGTTGAAGGAAACTTATCTTACCAACAAGCCACAAAGCATTTGTAAAGACTATATCATAAATTAAGTTTCATTTGCAACCATCAAGAAACAAAAACAGTATTTCCAGGCATGAGAGTCAATTTTCTTTTATCTTTAGCTTTGTTTTGTCTTAAGGGAACAAAATTAGGGACACAAACACTGATAACAGCAACACATTTGCCAGCTTTGTGATTTCTTGGATTATATCCAGTTACAGGAACCCAATAACTCCATAACCATGAAATATTAGTATTTGGTAGCCTTAATATTTAAATGCAAAAAAACTACTATTAAAAAATGTATCTCCAAAAATTGTTGTCAGGACCCCTGGTTACTCATGCAGTGACTCCCCTGTTACAGATTGTGTATTTTCCTCTAAAATGTTTAGCAGCCATACAATGCTTCAGTTACAGGTTAGCTATCATTGTTGTCTGAGGAATTCACTTACAGAATCCAGGTTAGCTGCATTTTACATGCAAAGCACGTAAAAATTATTTTTCTTCCTCAGATTTGAGAAATATGACTCACAAAAAGCACATACCTAAAATTAATCTGAAAATAGAAAACTGTAAGTATAAGGCTTTTACTATTGGAGATATTCATTTCCATAGCACCTAATTCTGCCATCAAGCATCGTCTCCAACATATTATTGAAGTATTTTGTAATTTCAGTTGTCACTCCCTCTCTTGCTCTTATGCAATGCCTTTCTTCTGAGAATTGCAGAGGCTTTTATATTAATAATAAGGTATATAACATCTACGAATTAGGAATTTCCACCTTTCACAGATGGAACTGAAACAGAGATGACGTGCCCCAGATTTACAAGTTTTCTGAAGTTATCTTCTTCCAGAAAAGATTACAATAACTCTAATTTACTTTGGAAAACTACTGTGTCCTATGTGAACTCTCCTGCAATTTGAAGGCACCTTATTGCAGTAATATCTAACACAAAAGAAAAACTGAATGCTATTTTTTTTTTCTGAATCCAATTTTGGTTATATGTGTTATTAAATGTCCAAAATAAGTTAATACTAACACCATGGAGGTGTCAGTCATGACTCTTAAGCTGTAGGAAAACTCCATTTCACACTTACAAAAAATTAATTCATCTCCTACTATGCTTAAAAGCCACATCATATGCTCTCCTACCTGACCAAAACAAAGTGAGTTCTCTAAATATAAGTTTAAACATAAATTCACTGACTTATGAGCGATAAATCTGTATTGAATAAGAAAAATCTGATTCCTCAAAGCACTGTTGACAGCCTCAGCATGATTCAAAATTATTTTTGGTACCAGTCAGCACACTCTTCTCATCCTGTTGCAGCCCCTTTAGAGTAGAAGCTCATGTTTTATGAAGCAGCAAGGTGGCAGCAAAACTCAGAGCAACTGTTTCTAATTGTTGTGATTAGGCAGAGGAGAAGTAAAATCAGTCCCAGGGCTCAGGTAAGAGGCCCCTTTGACAGAGAAAAACTTTTCTCTTCAGCTAATTCACATATGGTAATCCTATTAAGTGGAGCAAGGTAGAGGAGGGGCTCACGTCAAAAGTTTGCTTTGATAAATCACTTCTTTCTAGCCTCTACCATTCTGTAAAGATCCTACAACTAGTGCCAGGACTCGGAATTTTTGGTCATAAAGCTCCTCGCAGTACTGCAGCCTCCACTACAGTGGAGCCTCTAAGCTTTTAACTTTTACAGGCACAGGGACTGGCTTTTTGCTTGTTTGAGTTTTTTGTTGGCCCCCCCTTGGGGCCGGGGGGGGGGAAGAGGTGTTATGTTGATGTTTTTTTTCTTTTTTTTATTACATTAATCTTCATAGTACTCCTCTGAATCAATAAATCTATTACAAAATAAAGGCATTTTCATCAGCTCACTTCAGCTGCTCTGCCAAAAAAACCCCAAATCTAAATTACAGTATTTTTTGACTGCTTTATTATAAGAGCAGAATGGTGAATCTGCCCTCAATTGTCAATAATTAAAAAAGACATTTAAGGCTGCATATCTTCAAAATATTAAAAGTATTTATGCAACAAGACTGTTACAGGGTACGCTTACTTAACATAGCTCAAAGAAATTATATAAGAATTACTAAGATGCACATATAAAGTTGCTTTTCAATGAAGGTATGTGTGTATGAGAGGGGAATGGAGGAGGAGCTCCTTATCTGGAAAAGATTAAACAGCTCAGAAAATTTTCTTCAAATATTTTTTAGCAGAATTTGCAGCTTTTTACCTAATTTTTGAAATACATAGTCATTCAGATAAGGCAGCAACAAACGGATCACTGCTGCCTCTGGAAGGAAAGATAAGTTAGCCTTTGGGACTTAGATATTCATTTTCTGACAGTTGTTCTTTCTCAAAAAATTTCTCTGCTAAACAAAGATTATTTGGGATTGACAAGTCTGTGCTTTGGAATAAACAAGATTTTTCTCTGATAGGATGTTGGAAACAGATGCTTAAGATCCAGATAACACTTTAGTCTGTCAAGTGAGGGGGTCTCATGGAAAAGGTAACAAGTCACACAAATACCTACATATGCCTGACAGTGTTTGTGAATCCATGATATTCCATAAGATACAAGAGAAATAAGTCTTTCCCTCATACACTGCAATTCTAATGAGAAAAAGACAATTCTACTTCCTATCCGATGAGATTGTGGAGAAAAAGAGTTCAAAGAGAAGACAAGATGGTGAGGTTGGTGTAGCTGAAACAGTGGCCTGGAGAAATTCACACAAAGTAATGCTAAGACCTAATGAACATAGGAGATGGTTTGATTTCTTAAAAAAATACATATCCCTTTGCGATCACTAACCGCTCTGTAACCAACACCAGCTGTATGCAACGTAACAAGGCGCCCAGCATTTATAGAACCATTATCAATCCACAAACTTGCTGCCACATCCATTGAATGGAGATGGGGAAAGAGGCTCCAAAATTCCTCAATACTCTGTTAACCACCAGTGTTAAGGCTGCTGCTCTAAATACAGCTTGTGCTTCATCTGTGGCCCTAAAGAGTGAATGCCCTCTTTGAGCTTTATGTCTCCTAACTCAAGCCAGGATGCTTCACCGCTGAGATAGTGGACTCGGGTGAACACTATGGAAGTATAAACATTTTAAGACGTGTCTAAATTTTAGTATTTTGTTAAATACATGCCAAGAAGCAGAAGTCATCTATAGTGGCTCTCACTAACTGCAGTTGCTGCCACAACTAAATTCCTGGTGCTGGAATTTATTCTTTTTGTTTCCCAGATGTTCTTCACTAAAATAATCCCAAACAAAACACATAACATACATGCAATTTTACATGTGTATATAGACAAGCATTTGAAAATACCACAAAATGTTTTCACATATGACACAACTTAACACACCTGTACAGGGTGCAGGTACCCTTGAACTCAGGATCTCTCCTTTTTAACAAAAGTGACATTTCACTGCAAAGAGTTGCTGAATCTTTCTCAAATTTTACTGTTACTTACATGCAAACAAATATTCATTACTTCAAATGCAGTTTTATGACATGCCAGTAGAGGTTTTCTGTTTGAATATTTGACACCAATCAAACTCTGCACTTTTCTTTTACCTGGAGTAGTGGATAGCTTGATGTCCTGCAATATTAAAATAGAAGTCAGTTGTATGTTTCATCTCATCAGTATGTCCAGAGACTTCAATCCAGTGTGCTATTGGGAGGCAGTAAACTCCATCTACTATATTGCTCTGGTTGTAAACACAACTTCGATCATGATGGGGCCCGTTACCTAAAACAGAAGAAAGGACAATTGCAGACTGTGTATCTGGATAATCTTCCAAAAGATTTGCTGGGAGGTTTGAACTGAGCATTTAAGGCCAGGAGTCACGTTTGCTGCCTCTTCAAACTGCATTTCTCATAACATATTATTAACATCTGAAATAGTAGTAATAGAAGCACTGCCACAAAGGATACGTTCAGCATTAAAACAAGTTTTTTGCAAATTATTAAAACAAAAAACCCCTTTAAAGGTGCATAAGACTCCCAAACACTTCAAATTTCAGGAATAATTAATTTAAATTAAGTTCCTAATTTGATGTTTGATAATATGTGACCTCAGCATTTAATGTTCTTACTGTGTGACTCCCTCTGGGGGGTCCATCTTGCTGTGGCCCAAGGTCTAGCTCTGACATGCCACAGCAGTCTCACCTTGCCTTAGGCTGACTTCTATGGGGTGGCAAAGATATGGGAAAGACCTTAGGGAAAGTTCAGAGGATGGCTGTGCAAGGTCAGAAAGGTGAAACCAGAAACAGAAGTAGGACTGGTGACATGGGACTTGTTACCAGCTTAAGGATTCTAGAGGAAAAACATCAACGCGGAAAGGCACCAAATCCCAAAGAAGGTGGCAGACAGCAACCTAGTGATAAAGATTTGTTTCAGGGAGCAGAGAAGGGTGGCCCCTCTACCTCATTCACATCTGCCTGGCCAGCAAAGACTCTTCAGATGTCCTGTCACAGACCATATACATATGGACGTATCATTAAACCCTACCTGTCTTTTATGTTTGCTGACTGATAAACAATTTGTTGTCTTCAGATGCAAATCTCACTTTCAAAGTCTGTTCATACACACTAAAAGTTGTCTAAAGTGACCATTAGAGAGATGGTCACATCTGCAATGGTGAATGATCACAATTACCTAAAACAGCCTTGTTTAAAATAAGAATTTTTTCTTACAGTTTTCCACTAATACTATTCCCCCTTCCTCTTCTTTTACAGAAATAGTGTGAGCTTTAGTCAGAAAACAAATTTTTAACACCACGCCAGAGTAAGCAACTTGAATTGAACTGGGTCGTGTCATCAATCAAAAGGTTATCTAGCCTCCAAAGATATAGTATATGTATATTCTCCTGCCCCATTCTCTCATACTTACTGTAATACTAATTGCATGTAGGAATAATTATTGTGCAGATCAGAAGTGACCTAGTCTATGGCTTGCTTAAGCCTGTTACACATATACATTATTAATGATGTTAAAACATTTCTGAGTAAAATTATGCCCACAGGAATATCTTCAATTTCACATTGCACATAAATGTATGACCAGTTTCCAAGCATCACATTTAGGGAAATTTGCTAGAGCAAGAGCAGCTGGGAAGATGTATTAATGCATTGATTAGAGAGTAAGACTAACATTTAATATTAAAGCTCAAACCATCTCCTTTTTTCCAGATGATATGCACTACGTTTTATCATAATTGTGAAATATTATTATTTACCAAAAAGAAAATAAAATACTAGGCAGAAAGCTGAACCATTATGCATCACATAGCTTTTGATAAATAAGGTTAGGAAGATCAGTACCTAGCTACAGAAGCTACAAATATTACCACTATATTTTTATCTCACATTTTTAATTATTTGCATATTCTTACCACTTTTAAACAATATGTGAAGACAGTAGTATATATCAACAAATACCACAGTGTAACAAAATCTATGGATGTTTATGACATTTAACTGACTTCGTGTATTCAGGAAAATACAACCACAAGTACCACATCTTGCCCTCCCCATTTTACTTTCTGACAACTGTCTGCAGAGATGCACATCACTGTGGCCCTTCCCTACATCACAAAGCTGTGTCTGATCCTGACCCCCACCTGCCCACAGGCCCACGTCCTGTCCCAGCCTCAGCCCTGCCCGAGGGAGGTGCCCGATGCTCAGGGCTGGGGTTGCCCTGGTGTCCCTGGCTGCCAATCCCAGTCCCCTGGGAGCCGCCAGACCTCACTGCCCCCTAAGTTTTGACTCTGGCTGACCCAGTTTTGATCTCTGGCTTTTATGCTACTCCCAGCTCTGTTCTTCCTTGTACATGAGTGCCCTTCTACCCGCTCTGGCTCCCTCACATACTTCCCCTTTCATTGCTCAGTGCTGTTGCTCCTCTTGCACCAGGATTTCTGCATGAATTTTTGCAAGCACAATCTATGGTCTCTCCCTCCTGCTTAATTATTCCTTTCCTCAAGGTGCTAGTCAGTCCTACCAGACAACACTCTTGTCTTCATGATCTCAATTGCACCACCACGTGCTTTCTACTGCAGTCTGCCAGTTTTGCTGTCCATCCTCCTTCTCCTCCTTCTCCAGCCTTAATTCTTGTTTCTTTTTTTTGCCTTTCTTCTCTATGATCTGCTTTTTTAAACAGTCATAACCTCCTTTCTTTGTAACCTTAACACCTTCACCATTATTAATTCCCTTACAAAGCCTACAGGCACATACGGAAGTGAGGACAAGAGTAAATTGCCATGAGACATTTGTTTTATTGGTTCCGTCAAACAGGTTTTGTCAAATCTCATTCTGAAAAGCTTTCTTCTGTAATCATCATTTATCGCTGCACCACTCAATCTCATCTTCCCACTGTGGCCTACAGTCAAACAGAAATCTCAAAAGGTATGTTTCTATTTTGCCTTTAATAATCAGGTAAACAGTAACAACTTGCATTTATAGCATATTTCATGAGAATTGCCTAGCTCTTTACTACTCCTTACGTTATATACTGATCTATGAATTAACAACCTTCTTACTGAAATAAGATGTCTGTGCAACAACGTATATGAACACATATTCAACATATATTCACATGTGATATAATTTCAGACAGGAAGGAGAGAGTGCTACCATCTTCAAGAAAGACTAATTTAGGGAACAGTATGATCACAGCGGACTGCATTCAGGAAGTTGAAATCACTATACTTCTTAAAAGAGTTATGAAAATAGGCAATAAGCATAAAAGATGAGGATCTCACTACCCAGGTGATACCCACATGATTACACAAGTGCTTCTCATCACAGTTTGCTTCACAAGACGCATTTAACAAATAAGTTTAAAAACAAAAATAATTGTTGTATTAGCTCACATCGTGCTTCTGCTAGCACAATTTGTCACAGGAAGACCATGATATTTTGGATGCCAAAAAACAATAATGCAGGGAAACAGTTCCAGAAGTAGAGCCAGGTGACAAGTTTTGAAGATTATTGTAGAACTCATCAATAATTTAGAGCTGCTATAAAAGACTGAAGATTGAATTCTCTCAACTTTTATCTTCCAGTCATTTAATACAAAAACAAAAGTCAGCCAATTAAATCAGCTCTTATTCAAGGTAATTGATCATAACCTGTGTTTTAAACAGAAAACAATAAGCATCACTTAAATGTTCTGTTTTATATTTGCAGAATGTATACAGCTAGGAAAATGGGCACAGACGGAGCGATAAGCAGAAATGGTTAGCTAGATAAGCCTCTGTTCTTCCTTTTCCACCCCCACCTTCTTAAATATCTTCTCATGAGTTTCCTCTGCCTGAAGCAAGGTGCATCACCTCATGGTGTGAGGTACGTCCACAAAAAACATTCTTTAATCTCATCTTAGCCCCCTTACCTCTGCTGATGGAGCAGACTCCTTACATCCCCTCTGTGGTACTCTGTCACATACATGTTTCCATCAGACTCAGGCTCAGAAGAGCCAGCCCACGACTTCTCACAGGCACTAGAAGAGCTCATGCCAAGAACAAAATAGCTTTCAGAGGCAGGATAAATATTTGGCACACTAAGACATTTATTCTCTCCTCCCTCAACACAGTAGGCCAAGCACAGTCTGTTGTGAATGTGAATTCCTGGAACATGGGGACTTTCCCAAGCCTAGGACAGCAAGTTGGGCAGAAGGTGTTAGCTCCAGGCAGCAACAAACAGCACCACAGATCAAAGACCACCACTTCTTCTCTTGCTCTCTACTCCAGGGCTGTTGGTGTGGTTGGTTAGCTTGGGAGGAAACCGCATGTGTGATGAAGGCAGTAGGACTAAGGTCAGCACAATCTGACTCTTCTCAGTGCATCAGAAAGGTGTTGCTGCCCTTTCTAATTTCTTACCTTCTGCTCAGGCACCAGAGAGAAAAGACAGTGGCCAGTGCAGACAGAAGTGCCTGTATGCAGTCTGAACGTGCCTGGTTGTGTCTGAAGCTGGTCATACACACACCAACTTCTTAATCCATTTAAGGTTATAGTTTGTCCTACCTCACAGGTCCCATTATCTGCTTTATCTGAAATTTTCTCTGGATTTTCTAAGTGACTTCTCTAAGAAGTCAGACGCAGCAGCCCTTTCTGACAGAAACTTCACTAAGCTTCATTGCTCATTTCTCAAATACACAAAGTTTTTCATAAAGTAAGTTACCAAAACTGAAGGTCTAGTGCTGAAGTTTAGTTTCTGTACCTGAAGATGGGAAAGGCCCCACCTACAAGCTGCAAAGGCTATCCTGAGTGTGCTGGACAACCACATCTGTCAGAAGGCCCCTAGATCAGTGGCTGCCACAGCACAAACAGAGAAGGCCCAGGGTACAATTTGCTACAGTCCAACATGCTCCCTGGACCCCAAATGCATGTCACATCTTCACCAGCACCTTTTTGGTGCATAGGTAAATACATCTGTCCCCCTAACTAGTTTCCTCAAGCTTACCCAAACTTTGTACAAAGACTTGAACATATTTTGAATAAATCCACCATGATTCCACCAGTCTCCACAGTGGGAATTCATTATGATTCCCATTTAAACACTCTGCTCAGGCACAGCACCTGTGTGTCTGCTCACCAGTGTTTGCAAGACAAGAACTCAAGTCTCAGAACACACGTGTTGCTCACAGCACATAACACCAGACCACTGGGTAGGCTTCCAGGCACTTTTAATAGGAAATAAACAATCATTTGGGTGATTTATTTTTTTTATAGTTAAGAAAACATTGTGCAGCCTAAAAGATTGGGGGGAATTTTAACAGCATTTCAACTTTTCTGTTCCTAGAGCCAAGAGTAAAGCAAAGAAAATCAAACGTTTTCCATTCACCTGCTAGTCTTTGCAAAAAAGAGAGCACAAATGGCCTTTGAGTGAAGGCCCTACACAACAGCAAATACATGTTCTTACAGCTAAACCCATTTCTATGTCAGTATTTTTATTCATCTTGTTTTTATTCATATTGTTCCAAGTAGCAAAACATAGGTTTAATTATTTATTGTTGGGAGGCAAATACACAATCATTTGAAAACACATAAAATTCAACCATAAAAAAGGGTAAGTCAAATATTTGAACAGTAGTGATCCTCCTGTTAATTGATCATGTTGGCTTTCCTAATTAAAGAACAAAAGAATTTTGGAAGAGTTTATTAAAAGGTACATGTTCTAGTTTAACTGATAGGATAGCACTTTTTTTCCTTCAAAAAGGTCCATTTTTTTTTTATTTAAAATCCATCTTTGTGATTCTTCACAGTGAAAATGCTTATCTGAAAGAGAAACTTAACAACAAGTTTCTAGGCATTAAATTATAAAGTTTTGCATTGCTTTTGCAACCCACTTGTTGCTCTCTACTGCAAATGCTTGTGCAGCAGAATCCACTGATGCAGGGAACTGCTGGAGAGCAAAGCAACCAAGTAGCCTCACCCGGAGCAAAAGCCTCACAGAGGGCTCTTTCAAAATCTGCATGACTGCAGTTATGGTTCCTTGTTTAATGCATATGAAGGATGATCCAAGTGGCATAAGAAGTGGCTGTACAAACAAATAAACAAAAAAATAAAATCAAAGATGTCCATATAACTGATAAATGGCACTAGCAAAAGACAAAGACCAGAAAAAAACAAAGGAAAACTTTGGTTTTGAGCCGGCTTGAGCAGGGATGTTGGATTAGGTGACCCACTGTGGTCCCTTCCAACCTCATTGATTCTGTGAAAAACAGATGAAGATACAGTAATACAAGATGTCTACAGATATAGGACTGGAAGAAGGTAAGCAGAGACTAGAAGAGGATGTTCTGAAATTTGATCTAATGATGAACAATAACAGAATGCAAAGGAAAACCTGCCGTTACTATTCTATTACAGCTCTGCAGTTACTATTCTATTACAGCTCTACTGCAGAGATGAAAAAAGTATAATCTAATAGTCTGCCAACAGCACAGACTCTTCTTGACACAGAACTCCACACAGATTGCACAAAATAGTAAGTGTAGAGAAATTACAAGCTTGATCTTAAAAGATATGAAGCAAAATCTGGGTCAATGAAATTTCTCATCACCACTAAGAGTGGTGAACAAAAAACCACATGAATGAATGAATATAATAAGATCGCCTGTCCAACTGTCTCTGCAGAGCTCTTTGCAGCAAAGGCACTGCTCAGCGACTCTCTTCCAGCTACCAGCTTTTTGCACACCTTGCTGGAAGTACGGTCTTTTTTCTGTTCTCTGCAGTGCAAGAGACAGTACGTAGGAATTCCAAGGCACAACAGCAGACATCAAGGTGCTGTGTCTCTCATTCCTGTCTTAGCCAGACCCTAAAACACAGGCATAAGACTTCCAAACCTCTAAACCCCAGCAAGGTGTGTTTCTCAGTTCACTGCTGCCTTTGAAAAAACTACAGGGCTACTTAGATACACACATTAGTTTCAATGGCAACTAACCAACCCAAACACAAACACCCAGGCAATTTTCAGATCACCTACTCACAAATCAGTAAGAGCAAAGACTAACTCCTATAATCTTTGTCATAAATTTTGCATGAACCAGCACAGTTTACATGCCAATTCAAAATTTTACCTATGACTACATATTTTAAGTAATTCCATTTGCTATATTAAATGAGGTCCTTTAACAAGGTAAACAAGTATCTTAAGTTCGTGCCTAGAAATTCCTCTGGAAGAGTTTAATATTATAAGCACTATCAACACTCTGAGGGCAGAGAAACAGAGAAGGATAGAGGAATGAAAGATTCCTTTTTAAAAAGAGGAATAAAGCAACAGAAAGTAAAGGAAACATACTAAAAAAATCTCCAAAATAAAGCATTTAAAAGATTAGGTTTTTGCTAGCTTCCTTACCTTTCATACCAACATTACAATGAAGAAAAGCCTCAAGCCCTATTTTGGACACAATTTTCAGTTATCTGAATGTGCTACTGCATGGTGTCATTATCATACATCACTGTAACTGAACTTCCTTTAGTACACTCACAATATTCAAATTTACTTACCCTTTACACCAGATTCTGTCACGAAAGTCTCCCTGCTGCCTGTCTGAACAAAATTCAATCTCTGATGTTTTGAAATAGGATCTGTCTCAGTCCCGCCAAGGCTGAATTGCTATTGATTGAACTGAGTGAGGTCAAGTATTTTGCCAGTTTGAGTCTGCCACAGGCTCTGGAGTTCTACCTTCCTCAAGTCTCAGTCAAGCCCGTGAGTAGTTGCCCTGACAAACAGCAACAATTTTGTATGGCATGTACCAAACCTTACTTGTATGCTTAATAAATACTTCCTCTGATTACAAGGCTACTTTTTCTGCTGCCAATAAGCTTCCCTTTAGTAAACAGGAGATGAATTTATCGTATATTTATACTTATATATATTGTACACTTAATACCTAGTATTAATATAAGACAAAATTGTTAGTTTGCCACACCTCATTCAGGAACTCCTTCATGATTGGTTTGATTTCCAGAAGTGTTTCCTTGCATTTGCCAGGCCAAATAGATACCCAAAAACCAGAAAACCATTTGTATCATACCCTGTACATTTATTTTTTACCAAACTTAAATCAACTTTCAACTTCTCATTTGGTAGAGATGATATATAACCAGAGAAGTAAGTTTTAACTCGGGGACCCCCTGGTGGTCTAGTGGTTAGGATGCGGCGCTCTCACCGCTGAGGCCCGGGTTTGATCCCCGGTCAGGGAATTCCCCCGGGCAGATGGAGCTCATCAAGCCCTGTAAGGCCATCCATCTAAGAGAAGGTCACTCTAAACAAACCTACATCCTGAGGACCTCACTGCCATTGTCCAAGCTTGCTTGGCCCCGGTAGATGAACCTTAGGATTAAAGGGTGGGCTCAGTTCAGCGCACGCTGTGTCTCACCTAAAAAATCCATTGCGCAGGCTTGAAAGGTAAAAGACCTTTCCCAAATCTTCGTTCGCGAAGACTGGCCATACTTAAGTTTTAACTCTCTTAAAATCCAGGCTGAATTTGAAATTTTTTAGTCTATTAGTATACCCCTAAGAGAATTCTTTTTATGATTTTTAATTATGCCATTATTAGAACTAAATGGTTTACAAGAAAGCCCTTTTCAGCACTTCATGCTGTTAATCAACAAGGCTTTCTTCTTTTTCAAATTAGATATAAGAAAATAAGAATTTTCAAAGGCAACTTTCAAAAACATACGCTTTATTTCTCTCTCTAGGTCTGCTTAGGCACAGGTGTTTCTCAGCAGAAGCTTCTACCATACTAAGAGTTTTTAACCAAATGCCCAGTCTAATGATGTAGATTACGTCAGAGAAAAGAAACTAACAGGAAATCCACGTTATGTAAAGAAGAGGCTCTTCTTTGACAGATGGCGGAAATAAGACTAAAGGAAATACAGATGATAGAATAACAGCTGAAAGCAACAAAATGTATAACGTAATAGAGTCTTTCTAACTGCTTTGAAAACTCTCTATGGCATTGTATTTTCTATTACTGATTGCTACTTTCTACCATACCAGAAGAGATTACTGAAGTACAGGCAGGGAAGAAGCTACATCAAAATAGTAACCATGGCAATATCTTAACCAAAGTATCATTCTAGTTATTGTCACTTTTCAGTGCTTCTTGCCATTGACAATAAACTCTTGACCTCTACTGCATGCTGCTGTCACTTGGAAGTGAGTGATGGGGAAAATGGTAAAGTATTTACATAAACAATGCATTTATTGTAACTTTGCCATTATAACCACAAATGCTTTAGTAAGGCTTTAACAGCAGTCAGAACTGGACCCTGATTATCTCTGCCAAATCCAGAGGAATGCAAGTATACATACCTATTTTTATTCTTCTGATTTTGCAGTTTCACGGACAACTCTCTGTTGTGGTATTGATCTCTGGTAGTCTACTCAATATAAGCTGGTTAATGCTGACACACAGACAGAAAGTAATGAGAAACTCACTACCATTTAACTGCAATCATCCATGCTAAGTATACGTCTTGAGGGGGCTGAAGAACAAAACATCAGGAGCTATTGCACTTGGTAAACAGAAGTTTCTTTCCATTCCTTACAGAGGTATTGGGTAGTAGATTTCAAAATTATCCACTTTCACTCATTAAGTTTCCTCACATCTGAAAGGTGTTAAGCCATCTAGCATTGTCCAGAAAGCAACAGCCTCACAGGAACAAAATGCCTATGATGCACAATCATTCAACTATCAACATCCAATTGTGTTTTGTGTCCCTTCATAGTCACCACGTACTTCAGAACAAGACTGCAATGGGGGAAACAAGTAAAATCCCAGATAATTTTCAAAAGCGGAACAGAAATTACACTAAATACTGATGAAATGTGCAAGTAGCTGCCAGGCACTGGCTATACACAGGGAAAATGGCACCACCCAGTGGGAACAACACTACATGAAATATATGCATTAAAAGGTACGAAGAAATGTTATTCTTAAGGGTTTGGGGGGTTTTTGTTTGGTTGTCTTTTTATTTTTTTAATAATAGAACTGCTCCCTATTTTGAGGATCTGTAGATTAGCTTTGGAAAAAAAAAAGATGTATCTCAGTTACAGAAAAATAACGTTATGTCCAACTGTACTTTTCAGAATGCCCTCAAGAAATTTTTATTTTGCTTTATCCTGCTATGGCTTAGCCCCAAATATTTTTCGTTCTGTTACAATCTCCAATGCAAAGGGCAACTAGATATTATCTTCCCATACACTCTTAAAAGAATCTCCTCCTTTAAATTAAGAAATTATACTTCGTTTGTTCCACAGAGTTGAGGCCAAGAAGTAAGATTCCTTTAAGTTTCAACAAACTACCATTTCAAAAATTAAATTTTTATCTGCTCACCTATCACTGATACTTTGAACCAATTAAGGGCTCAACCCTTGAAAACTATGATCAGAATTTACTTCTGATATTTTCACTCATTACAATATTATCAGAACATTTATTACTGTTTTATTATTACATTTATTTTATTGCATTATAACATTATTTTATTATTACATTTATTCTGTGACATAAGTCACAGAATCACAGAACATGCCAAGTTGGAAAGGACCCACAAGAATCATCGAGTCAACTCCTGGCCCTGCACAGGACCACTCCCAAGAGTCACACCATGTGCCTGAGAGTATTGTCCAAATGCTTTTTGATTTCTGGAAGGCTTGGTGCTGTGCCCACCTCCCTGGGGAGCCTGTTCCAGTGCCCAACCACCCTCTACATGGTTGTATTCCTCTAATATCTAACCTGAACCTCCCCTGAAACAACTTCAGGCCATTTAGGTCCTGTCACTGGTCACCACAGAGAAGAGATCAGTGCGTGTCCCTCCTCTTCCCCTCATGAGGAAGTTGTAGACTGCAATGAGGCCTCCCCTCAGTCTCCTCTTCTCCAGAATGAACAGACCAAGTGACCTCAGCCACTCCTCAAACGACTTCCCCTCAAGGCCCTTCATCATCTTTGTTGCCCTCCCTTGGACACTCTCTAACAGCTGAATATCTTTCCTATATTGTGGTGACCAAAACTGCCACAATATTCAAGCTGAGACCACACCAGTGCAGAGCAGAGTGGGACAATCCCCTCCCTCGACCGGCTGGCGATGCTTTGCCTGATAGCCCCCAGGACATGGTTGGCCCTCCTGGCTGCCAGGGCACTGCTGACTCATTCAACTTGCCATAGACCAGGACCCCCAGGTCCCTTTTTGTGGCACTGCTTTCCAGCATCTTATTCCCTAGTCTGTACGAACGTCCAGGGTTGTCCCATCCCAGGTGCAGAATCCCGCACTTTCCCTTGCTGAACTTCATATGGTTGGTGACTGCCCAGCCCTAGTCGAGGTCTCTCTTCAGGGCCCCCCTGCCTTCGAGGGAGTCAGCAGCTCCTCCCAGTTTTGTATCATCTCCATACTTGCTTAGTATCCCTTCTAGTCCTGTCTCCAAGTCATTTATGAAGATGTTGGAGAGCACAGGGCCTAAGATGGAGCCCTGCAGAACTCCACTACTGACAGGTCCCCAGTCTGATGTTACCTTATTCACTATTACCCTCTGTGCTTGACCCGTGAGTCAATTGCTCACCCACCACATGATGTGTTTATCCACTGTGTGCTGGACATTTTGTCCAGAAGGACCCTGTGAGAGACAGTACTGAAAGCTTTACTGAAATTCAAAAAGATGACATCAACATCCCTTGATCAACTAAATGGTTTACCTTGTCATAGAAGGAAATCAGGTTTGATAAGCAGGACTTTCCTCTCATGAAGCTGTGCTGGCTGTGACCAATGACTGTGTTGTCTTTCAGGTGTTTTTCAGTACTTCCCAGAATAATCTTCTCCATAACTTTACCAGGCACTGAAGTGAGACTGACAGGTTTGGAGTTCCAGGGTCCTCCTTCTTGCCCTTCTTGAAAATCATGACAACATTCGCTGGCTTCCAGTCAGCTGGATTCCCAAGACTGCTCAAAAATCATTTAGAGGTTTTGCGATAACATCAGCCAGCTCTTTGAGGATTCTGGGATGAATCCCATCGGGCCCCATAGATTTGCAGGGATCCAGCTGGAGCAGCAGATCTCAAACACTTTCAGGATCAATTGTTCTCGCTGTCACGGTCCTCCAGCTCAGGCACTGAGACCCCATTGGCCCTTCATCCGTGTTGAAGACAGAGGCAAAGAAAGCACTAAACACCTCTGCCTTGTCTCTGCCCCTGTTTGTGAGGTAACCATCCTCATCCTGTAACAGGTCAATGATATTTCTATACTGCCTATTGTCATTAATGTATTTGAAAAAACTTTTTATTGCCCCCCACCTTTCTGACCAATTTCATCTCCAGCTGAGATGGCTGCACGAATTTTCTCCCTACAGTGGCAAGCAGCATCTCTGAATTCTTTCCATATCACTTAACCTTACTTTCAGTGGCCATATGCCTTCCTTTTTTGCCTTATATCCAAGAGAAGGTCCCTGTTTAGCCAACGTACCGGTCTTTCTGAACTATCGCAAGTGTACGTTGTCCAACATACGGCTTAAACTGCAACAAACAAGCACACAGGAGCATGAACTAGAAATGTTGGAAAGCCAACATAGCAAGCCACAGGCTGAGTAATATAACTCTTTATAAATCAAACTGTATTGCATTATTTGGTTTGGGCCTCCAAGAAGCCACTAAGAACAGTAACAGCACCTATGTGCGAACAAGACACCTCTTTTCTCTCCTCCCCTCTCTACAAAACTAGAAAAGGAGGTTTTTTTGGAAGGAATAAGGCTCTGCTCACCTGAACAAATTCCTAAAATGTAGGTTGACTGTGCTCTTGAGCTTTAACAAGCAAGACTGTATCTGTCAAACTTCAAGCAAGCACCAACTACTTCAAACTAACTAGTTGGGTGAAAACCATAGAATGCTCAGGGTCCCATCCAACTTGGCCTTGAGAACTTCAGGAACGGGGCATCCACAGCTTCTCTGGGCAGCAATGGATCAACAATTTACAATACAAGCTCATGTTTTTTATGTATATTTTTACCCTTCTCAAAACATAAGGTGTCAATACACTGTATTCCATCATCTCAAAATACAGTTTGGGGCATACCCTTAGTAACTCCTCTGTCCTTTTATGGAGTATGTTTCTTGATTAGTACCTACAGTTTATTTAGATGAGAGTAAAGGGGACAAAGGCACAGATAAGTGTTCAATGATTAACTAAAAAAAAAAATTCAAGTGTTTCATCTTGTATTTATTTAGTTTTGGTAGGCACAGAATGCTTTTACTTTCCAAGCTGAGAGACCTTAAATCCAGTTTTGAAGAATCAACATCAGAAAAAAAGTCCACAGACAGACACAGGTGCAGCTGGGGAGAACAAAGTATATATTATTATTTTTTTCTAAACCTATTCCCAGATTCTAAAGCTCAACAAAACCAACCTGTTTTCCACAGATACCACAGCACAGTTAAAAATCCTCTTAAATACCAGGCCTCAGCTTTCAAGACAGTTAAGCAAGTACCAACCCTGAAGAAACCTCAGACAGCTCGTGTGATTTGAGCCAGAAATGCTCAATGGCTTTAAGTACAGGTCCTGCTTGCAGATCAGCAACATTACCCTGGGACAGCAGAGGTAAGCATCTGATCCTTCAGGAGCAAAAGTGAGTTTCCTCTTCCACCTCCTCCTCCTAGAGTGTGGAAATAATTCCCTCCCAACACAAGCAGCAACCCAGAGATTCTCACACAGACCAAGCCTTGCCTGAAAGCTTCCTACCAGACCACCTGGCAGAACCCAGAAGCCACAAAACACTGGCCTGTGACTTTGACTCTTCTAGCCCACAGAAACAAATACCCCCACTTTATCTTTCAGTTTCTCCAGTACACTGGAATGGCTGTAATTTATACTCAAAACATGTGATACAACATGTACTGTAGTATTATGAAAACAGTGGAATTCTCACAGGTATGTAGTAATAAAAAACTGGGAGTAAATACAGCACATTATTTCAACATCCAATATATGTAAATATCTGAGACATCCATAATTTGACTGGAGTTTCTCTGGTTACAGATGAATGCCACAACTCATAGAGTAAGTATCATTCTGCACTTTCCTCTATCTCCCATAACCATGTCTTCAAAACTGCAGATGTTCCGTAAGTGCTAAATGTCTCCCAAAGCACATTTTAATTCTAAACACATACTAAAGAGGATACTAAAGAGACAAGACACAGCACTTGCTTATTACAAAAAAAAATATTCTTTTCTTAAAAAAGAGATTTGTCTTTTCAAATCGTGATTTTTATAAGAAT